AAAATATAAGCTATAACTGTCTCCTTGTTTCCTATTCTGTGAATGAAATAGCAAGTTGAGACAAGTCTAGATATTTAACATAGATTGTTCTTCATGCAGGAAGAGCTGCAGAGAAACATCCTAGTGAAGAAGATTCCCAGGAGACCTCAATTGTGGCATCAGCAACCAAAGGAAAGGAGACTCGGAGGGTGTCTCTTCCCCTGGTTCCCTACTCATTTGATGTTTATGAGTTCCCTGGTTTGTTTTATTTTTGTGAATTTCATTGGTAGGGATTATCTAAAATATATGGGCTCACAGGGCTGGGCCTGGTGGCTCATGCCTGTAATCCTAGCACTCTGGGAGGCCGAAGTGGGTGGATCATTTGAGCTTATGAGTTTGAGAGCAGCATGAGCAAGAGTGAGATCCTTTTGCTAAAAATAGCTGGGTGTAGGGCGACACCTGTGGCTCAAGGAGTAGGGTGTCAGCCCCATATGCCGGAGGTGGCGGGTTCAAACCCAGCACTCGCCAAAAACTGCAAAAAAAAAAAAAATAGCTAGGCATAGTGGCATGTGCCTATACTCACAGCCATTTGGGAAACTAAGGCAAGAGAATTGCTTGAGCCCCAGAGTTTGAGGTTGCTGTGAGCTATGATGCCACTGCACTCTACGGAGGGCAACAAAGTGATACTCTGCCTCAAAAAGAAACAAGCAAACAGACGCAGGATGACAAAAATGATTTCTCACATACACATACATGTATTTTCTTTCCTCTCCTCCTCTTCCTCCTTCTTCTTCATTGTCTTTCTCTTCTTCATTATTATTTACATACTCATCAACAACATGCCAGCATGTGCACTATGCTTCAAGTGTATTTTTTTCTCTTGAGAAAATGTCACCCTCCATTAAGTGCTATGGCATCATAGCTCACAGCAACCTCAAAGTCTTTAGCTCAAGTGATTGTCTTTCCTCAGCCTGCCAAGTAGCTGGGACTACAAGCACCTGCCACAACACCCTGCTAATTTAGAGATGGAGTCTTATTCTGGCTTAGGTGGGTTCTCAAACTCCTGAGCTCAGGCAATCCACCAACCTTGGCATCCATGAGTGCTAGGATTACAGGCATCAATCACCATGGCCAGCCTTGTTCAAGTTTTCTCATTACATGCCTTTTAGGAGGCAGAATCATATGTACAAGAATGTGCAAATTTAAGGTCTTTTTTTTTTT